CCTTTTTATGGACCTTTAGTGGGTCCTTTTTATGCCTCCTTAAAATGTTATCAATGGCATGCTTTCTTGGATTATTAAAGGAAACCAATTGTAAAAGATCTTGTTCAATCATGAGCTAACGACTTCTATACAGAATATACATTTCCTGGAGACAGGCCTGCATGGCGCAGGCACTGGTGAGATCAAGGGTCCTTACGGGGACAAGGAAGAAAGCTGTGCTCATCTACTTCAGTTCCTCTTTCTACTTAGGTCAATTTTTTGTTTTGAGAGATTGTTAAAACCTTTAGCTAATCTCATCATGAAGAAGTTTTGAGTCAAAAATCTAAAAGGTAAGAACCTAGAGAAGTGAAATATTTGCAAAACTGAGGGAGAACTGTAAGAGCCTTGTGGCACTGAGGAGGCAAAAGCCAACGCCTGGGCTCACCCAAGGTAGGGAGTCAATAAGTAAAAATCTGTCTGTAAGCCGAGAACCCCAAATACTTTGTCCACAGGAAAATGGTAAAACAGAAATGAACCCCTACTCGCACCAATTTGCAGCCAACTTTTGTTATTTGGGATAACCTCAGCCTTTGAGTTTGCAGTAAGGTGCTACGGTTTAGCAGATTAAAATGTCTGAAAGAAGCAAGCAAAATTGTTCTCTGGTGAAGATAAAATCATTCCTGGACTCAATTTGTTGCTAAAAATAATTGCTTATCTACAATTGTTATGACAAGTAGCCAGAGGTACTCACGGAAACCAAGAAATAGGAGCAAACAGGGTTCTATTTAGCTATGGACAAAACACCAACTGTTGCCAGTCAGGAGTATTGACCCGAGGGTAGAAAAATAGCAGTTTTTATAGCAATTGGTCCAGTTTCTAAAAATAGCAGGTGATTTTTTTCCAAAAGGTTGAGTACAGAGTTTATCTAATCACCAAAAATCTAGAAACAGAGGAGAAACCAATAGAAGCAGGTTCATTTATTTTTTAATGTGTTTGGGACAGGGTCTCACTACCCAGCAGACTCCTAGTGATCCTCCTGTTTTCAGCCTCCCAAGTGCTGGGATTACAGGTGTATGCCACCACACCTGGATTTGGTGCCCGGCTCAGTGTGCCCGGGGGTGGGGCTGGCATGCCATGTAGTGCTGGGGATCAAACCCCAGTCTCTGTGCTTGCCTAAGCAGGCACTTAGTCTGCTGAGCTATCTTGCTGTCCCCACATAGTGATATTCATAGTCATGGGGTCATTACAGCATTTATTAGAAACACCATTTATCAGAAATAGAAACTGCTTACAACCGGAAACTGCTTAACATATGACTCAGGGAACAAGAGTGAGTTCATTTAAAGTTTAAATGATGCCAAAGTGGAGTTTAGAAACAAAATGGAGGGGTTTTTGCCACCCCACAATGACCAGAACACATGCAGGACTAGGAAATTAGCCAAGACACAGAGGGGAAGGCAATAGCAGCAGTAGTTACTGAAACAGAGCCACAGAGAGTTTGGATATTGGAATCAGATGATGATTATAAAAATATAAATATTACATTTAAATAAATAAAAGAAGATTGAAAAATTCATCAGGAAACACTAAATAGGGGCCAGGGAGATGGCTCAGTGGAATAAA